AAGCATGAGCCATGTGGTTTGTATGCATGGCTAGAGAGAGAACACACTATATAGTTACAATCATCTCACTATTTCTCACTATGTTCTTACAGGAAGGCTTTGCCCCTCCAGAGGACGATGAACTGGAGGAGCAACATCCAGAAGATCAGGATGAATATTAGCTGTGTGAAAGCACACTTGGTTTCTCTCTGTCTGGCCATGACAGATCACCCATGCTCCTCACTTACCATGGACATTTAAGGTTTTGCATTGTACAGCCTCATCCTCCACAGTCACACATTATAACAGGTTTTCTACCGACAAGAGGCGGTTTCTGTATGTTGCGCAGAGCCCACAGGAAGCCCAGAGCTACATGGTAAAAAAAGGCATCAGTAGGTGGTGAAGATCAGCACTATAAATACCTTGTAGTGGGGCAAAATTCCTAGATTGGTGGCCTGGCTCCTTTTCCTTCTTCTCCTGGTCCATCCCATATACCTCTATTTATTGATTTCAGTTGTCTTGGGTGTGAGTGCTGCAATCCCTTGTATTATATTGAGAGACAAATTCTTTGTATATTTTTCCGTACTGGATTTCACTAGCACTTTGCCTGTCATATTCATGCTGAGCCAAGCTCTGGCACCCCTCCTGGCTTCAAAAAATTTGGGAGCATGTAAGCCTAAAGGCCAAGCTCAGTACTGGAAGCTCGCTCAGTGGGTGGGTGCAGGGGGAGGGAGAAGAGAATGGACTGGAATATTTATTTGGGGGTAGGGGGGGGGGTTTAATAATGCTGCTGAGAATATGAGTATTCCAGCCACTCTACTTGATATATCAGGTAGGCCCAAGAAGAAGAGAATTTACTAGATGGTGGCTTTTTCTTTTGGGGGTTTTATGGGAGATAATTTTGGAACATGGCAGCGCTGTTGTTTGGAAAAGAAGCATGAAGGGAACCTCCCCAACAATGTTCTGTTTTCCACAAACACCACAGGTTACAATTGAGCCTGCTATTGGGAAGGGCTCGGACATTTGATCTTCACTTATCGTTCTGACTCTACCAAGGTTTAGTTTCATGCTGTTTGGATAAGTTTGCCACACAGACTCTGCCTTGACCCACTCCCTGTTTGCATTGCCTGTTCAATCAGACACCGGTGTGCAAAGCCTGCATCTGTGTTGCATTTTATTTAAAATAAATTTGTGTGGTTAAAATCTGTCCTGATGTGTGTGCCATAACCCCCATTTCCACTTGAATGGATAGATACGGTTGCTGCAAAAAGTTCAGTGCACCAAGTCCTGAAGCACCAAACCTATGATGAATCAGATGAACATGGCAATTCTGAGCAGACCAATAGTCCCTCACTTTGACAGGCCCTTTTCTAGTTTCTTATGAATTTTTTTTCTTTTTAGTGGCCAAGAAACTGAGGACTGCTAGATAGGGAGGAAGGACCCTTTCCTTTAGAGCTCACTGTGCCTAAATATTATTTGAATAGCATTCTACGTTTACAAATGCCAATTTGTCTATTGCTTGTAAGAACAGCTCTGACAGCAGCAACATCATGCAATTAAAACTGTGGCCACAGCTTGAAGACTGATGATCATAGTATAAGCAAAAGCCATATTATGAGATGTGCTTAATACCTAAACAAAGGTGAATCATAAGAATAAGCTAGATACAGGTAGCCCTTGACTTATAACAGTTCATTTAGCGACTGTTCAAAGTTACAACAGCACTGAAAAAAGTGACTTATTACCATTTTTTTACACTTAGACCATTGTAGCATTCCCTTGGTCACATTATCAAAATCCAGATGATTGACAAATGGTTCATATTAATGACAGTTGCAGTGTCCCGGGATACATAATCATCTTTTGAGACCTGGCAAGCAAAGTTAATGGGGAAGCCAGATTCACTTAACAACCATGTTACTAATTTAACAACTGCCGTGATTCACTTAGCAAATGTGACAAAAAGTCATAAAATGAGGCAAAACTCACTTAACACATGTCTCACTAGGAACAAATTCTGGGCTCAATTTTGGTCATAAATCAAGGACTACATGTAATACACTCAGGAGCCTAGAGAAATTCCTGTATGGGGACCTTTGAGTGATATAAAGCAGAAAAAAGACATGACAGAGATACAGAGGAAAAATTATACAGTCATAGTGAATAACATTTTTCCTTTCATAAATCCTTAAATGCAGGATGATTGAATGAAACTCAGTGGTGGAAGTTAAGACAATGAAGGTATTTTATACAGAGCTCAACTGAGCTGGAATTTTCTATTAGAAGCTGGAGCAATGGTTGCCCCTAATGGCTTGCTTTAAAAATAATTTTAATCAATTCAGGGAGAGTAAGGATAAAATACAGCAGTTATGGGATTTGTATAATATTAATCTGAATGCAGAGATCTTGGGTAACCCACAAGTACGCTATTGCACATACACTGCTTTGAGACTTCCAATACATCTCTGGAGGGTCCCCTTCCCCAGTGAGGGCTCTCTCTTGACTAATTAACCACAGATCTTACCAGTTTTGCTGAACCAAATTGTAATTCTGCAAGTTGGAGTCTATTATAGAAGAAAGTGATTAGAGTCAAGCCAAATATCACCCATACAAACTTTCAATGCACCTTCCTTTAGGCCTCTTTGCTTGTACACCTTTATGGTACTTGTTTATGCAGTACTAAAGGAGTTCAACCCTGACTGTTCTTTGGAAGGACAGATACTGAAGCTGAGGCTGAAACATTTTGGCCATCCAATGAGAAGAGAGGACTCATTGGAAAAGACCTTGATGTTGGGAAAGATGGAAGGCAAAAAGGAGAAGGGGCCTACAGAGAATGACTGTCATTGATGCAATGAACGTGAATTTGGGCAAACTCCGGGAGACTGGTGGATGGGGAGGCCTGAAGTCTCATGGTCCAAGTCAGACACGCTTTAGTGACTGCGCAACAAACGACATGGGAGAGTGGCCCAAGGGAGCGAGTCTTGCTTTCCTGTCCAACTTTTTGAAAAAAGACTAGAATTTAGAGTTAATCTTATACTTAGGTTATTGTCACTCTAAATTTACACTAATCGGTATACATTAAAATGAAAGTTCATTGCATACAGCTCTTAAAGGGTCACTCCCTACAATACATAAACATAACAATGAATGTCCCAAAGCTGCTTTTTTCAAGAGGCAACTAGATTTCTGGTTTTTCTTTGAAGACATTTCACTTCTCATCCAAGAAGCTTCTTTGGGTTTGACTGGATGGTGGGGAATGGAAGTCAGAGCTGAAGAAGCTTCTTGGATGAAAATGAAATGTCTTCAAAAAGTCCAGTTGCCTCTTGAAAAAAAGCACCTTTGGGACAACCATGACCTGGGTGACTGAGACTCTCCATACATGACAAGTGATGTAAGGAACGTCAAAAAAATAAACAGACATGCCTCAACCAGGAGCTGTTAAGACATGAAAATCAAAGGCGAAGTTTCCTTATTCAGAGGCGATGTAGTGCTGTGTCACAAGCCAATGAGTAAGAATGGCTTGGTTGTTTCTTGGATCGTCTTCCGCAGGTATCCAGGCAGAACCGTGTTGTTCTGAGTCCAAATCCAGCTTTTTAGGCACCTCCTAAAGCAACAGATTAACAGTTGTAAGGGACCTTATAGGTAATCTAGTCCAACCCACCTCCTCAAGCAGGAGACCCTACCCCATTTCTGGCAAATGGCAGTCTAATTTCTTCTTGAAAGTCTCAAGTGATGAAGCCCCCACAACTTCCGAAGCAACTTCTTCTGTTCCATGGGTTGATTGTTCTGTCAGAAAATTTCCAGGTTGAATCTCTCCTTGGTCAGTTTCCATCCATTATTCCTTGTCCGGCTTTCA